GGACCCATAACCCATATAGACTGAAATCACTATCATTATCTAAACTCTAACTTAAATCCTTAAAATAATGGAGGAGAAAAGGAGAAAAAGGGTTTAGGAATCTTACTTTGGATGATTTGAAGCTTCAAACCTTCTTAAATCCTCTCTTAGATCGTGCTCTAGCAGAGTTTGGTGCGTCTCTTCCTTTTTCTCCTTTCTTCCTCTCTATTTCTATCTCATTTTTGTGACTGATATTTGCAAAATTCACACCGTGCACCGCGATGCATGTCCCCATACGCCACTACATATGGTACAGAGAAGGCAACTCTCATTTTATAGCCTTATAAGTTGCGGCATGTAGCATAGAGACTTTTCAACTTGTTTTTCTTCACTTTTTAGTCCCTAAGTGACCCAATTTCACTTTAGACCTAATTATACTTGAAAATTCAACTAAAAACACTTATTATTCTCCTCTAACTACACACCATGTTAACTTACTTAATTATCCTAATTAAGCTTAGTAAATTATGGAATTAAAAATTAAGATGTTACATATATGATGATTAATCAACATTTATAAAAATTCACTTGGGAATATTTTTTGTCTGCATCAGTGAAAAAATAGTCAACTTTTACTTAAATGTCGACTAAACAATCAACATTTAAGGGATTTGATGAATTAATTACTTTTGCACCAACTCTAAAATATTATGGGTATTTTTACTTTTGGCCAACAACTTCGTGGATACTTTTGCTCCCGGTCGATGACTTCGTGGATATTTTTATCCTTTTATTAGTCTATATCAGTAAAGACTAACACGTGACATGTACAGTTAGCATTTAATAGTCAAAGTTAACGACGTTAGGTCAAAGTTAACAGTTTGGTCACTTTTGCACCCCCTCATGTAACGTTATAGGTATTTTTATTCTTTTTTCTTACTTTAAGATATTGGGTGCATCTGGCTAATTACTTTATGGGCATTTTTACTCCTTTATCTTGATGAATTAGTATGTGGCAAAGTTGGGAAAAATTACTTTATCGGCTTTGAGTTATATAAATTGCACTGCACTATTTGTATTCAATTTGCAACTTGTTTGCTTTATTTCTTTTAAAAGAAAAGTTATCCTACTTAAAGCATGACTGGCAACGCTAAAAGTAGCCCATATTTAATGTTTGACTATATTTCAAATAGGATTGCTTCCAACTTGTGGCTAATAAAAAAAATTAAAGTTGGACAAAATTGTGTACACTAATGCTAAAGTTAACAAATATCATTATTATTCCCTGAGAACTTATTTATAAAACAAGAGAGAGAAGGTTTTTTTTATTTATAAGTCACACCATTAAATTTCCCCACAAATTTCTCCTTTTACTTCCCATTAAATGTTGGAGAGAAAAATTATGTTGTTAAAATATGTTTATTTAATAGTGGTAAAGTTAAAAATTTATTAAATTTATAGAGTTAATGTGTTTTTAAGGTTTTCCTTGATTTTGACAAAACATGTTGAAAATAATTTATAAATAAAATTATAAGAATAATTGAGTTCATGTAGTATAATAAGTTTAAAATAACTTATGCTTCTAATAACTTATGATTACTATAAACTTAAAGAGGTTTTATAAAAAAAATATAAACAAATTAATATTAATTGTAATGAGTATAAAATATAAAATTTATAAATTATAAAATCATGACTTAATAGTTATTACTCCCTTTATACTACAATCTATGTCATTAATAACTAATTCACATTTTATGAACAATGTTAGATAAAATTTTATTTTCCTAAAAATGTTCACATTTTTATATTTCTACCCTTGAGTTCTCCTAGTAATAAATACATTATCTTTAAATATAAAGTATTTAAAGATAGGGAATTTAAAAAAAAAGAAAGAGTATAAATGGTAAAAAAACATACTCTTTATGCTGAAAAATATAAGGTATTTTCTGAAAGTTTAGACGTTAAAAAATATAAAATATTTTAGTCTTTCAAGGTGTAATTATTATTTTTTTTCAAAAGTACTCCTATTGAATAAATCACTTTATATTTAGGGAGAATTACATTAAAATTTCATACAGAAAAATTAATTACTATAAGATCTAGTGACAATTGAATTAAGGAGTCACTGGACTTTATAATAATTAATTTTCTTGTGTGAGACCTGAATGTAATTCTCCCTTATATTTATTTTAGGGTGAAGTATCATGTTAAATAGGGGTAAATATAAAAAGATGGGTTTGTTTGAACACAAGTAATTACTTTATTAGGAGTGAGATTTAGTTATAAATGATTTATATTTTTTAATAGAAGGAGTAAAGTTTACTCAATACTCTATACTTTGGACCAAGGGATGCTTTTACAAAGCAACTTATATTGTGGTCTAAAAAAAGTATCTCAATTCTCTATTATAGGAGGTCTTCTATAAGACTTCTATAAGATTATTAATTAACATTTTTCAATTTTATTCTATTGTAAATTACTAAAAGAAAAATTAATTTTAATTTAGTGTTTTTTTATAAATTAATTTCATGTTTCTATAACTACTTGAATGCTCTAATAAGGGAAAAGTCAGTTCTAAAATATGATTGAAAATGACTTATAAGGAATATTGAAGACAAGAGTGGGTATTACTTAGATTAGACTTGATTGATTATGGATTTTTTTTTTGGGCAAGAATTATGGATCTAATATTTGGTTTATTAGTTTGTTCACTCTTATCTTATTTATAAGTCATTTCTAACATTTTTGCTAGATTCAAGAAAAACTTTAAATCTCATTAACTTTATTTAAAAATTCAATGAGTTTTCAACTTTATTCATATTAAATATATATACTTTAAAAATAAAAGCAAAACTAATGTATACCAATCCTTATAGTTTCTTCTAATTTTCAATTAGGTCCTTAGAATTTTATTTTATTTTCATTGAATCTTCTAGGTCGTCTCTATTAGATGTTTTGGTCCCTGTAATGACCCATCATTATCCCGTGACACACTCCCTAATCAATGCTCTTAATTGAAGAGCTAACCAAGATTTATATAAGCTTTTAGCAAATAAACTGGACTTGGGATCCCACACATGATCAATATGATATTCAAAGTAAATAAGTAGAAACAAATAAGGAAAATTAATACATTGAAAACTTAAAGCCAGAGAGTAGAAGAGACAAATTTTAGGTCTCACTATGTCAGCTCGCCGCAACCAACAACACTTGTCCACGTTTGCCTCAATGGACATGCTCACTAGCCGCAATGAAGAGTACAGAAGGCACTTGTCACGGCCTATGACACCACTTGCCATGGCGAACTCCCTTTTGACATGCTCACCACATCCAAACGACTACCTTTGTCATAACAACCCTTGCACCAGCAAACTTATCTGACAATATGCTCCTAATTATTCTTGAAATTCTCTAAACCTTAACTACGTAAACACCTTATTAATATGAAATCAAAGCCCATATATTCAAAATTAAGTAACTAAGCTATTGGATTTGACTTCAAGCCCTTCCAATGCAATGTGAGGATCCTAGGTCACTAAGTGCTAACTTGAGTCCTAAGATCCTTTGCACAATAAGAATGCCTCCTCTCTTAATTCCAGTACATTCATATACACATACATATTCATGCATAAACATCCTAATCCTTATTATAATAGGCCATAACGAGCTCTAATTTGGCATAACACTTGCACATTTGCATGGTTGGCCTCCCTCTCAAATATAAGGGCCAGCAATCGTAAAATTGCCCAAGATTATAATTAGGCTCCTATCCAAATGAAATAATCCTCACATATATAGAATTATGCATTTGTTCTAAAGTTGGGAAACTAACAATCTTATTGCACAATAAATAAACTAGAGACATTACAAATTATTCTCTAGTTCTTGGGCATAGAAGCCTCTTCTTTTTCCTTTGCCTTCTCATCCCCTGGAAAATATTAAGTAACGGGAGTAAAATTTAACAATCTCAATGACTAAGAAACTTAAAGAGAGCATCTTAAAGTGTGGCAATTATATTTAGATCAACCAATAACATAAACAAGTATATCATTTCATAAAACATGTTTTGCACAAGTGTCATGCTTATAATAATGCAACCACCTTATATCTCTTCTTATATCATCTGATTGAATCTATGTGCTATTAAATCGTGTACACCTAGTTCATGTGATTAAAACTAGTCTCGCTCTCCAATTGTGAGGGTTTACTTTGCCAAAGGCTCCCACATTTGCTCTCAAATCAATACGTTTCCCTTACTCAAATTTTAGCGTGTCATAAGTTGCACAAAAAAAAAACAGAAAGACTTTTGGCTGCAATAATTAAAAGTCATTCATTCATGTAAAGTTATGAGAATTTATATTTTTTTTTACTTTAAGCTACTGAATGCCTCTGGCTAACAATTTTATGAGTATTTTCGTCCTTTTATCCAAAATAATTCTAAAGACTCAAGATTTGATAATTAAAATTTACATGAAATTATAAAAGTTGGCAAATTAATTTTTCCAAATTTTTTCAATATTTAATGAAAGCAAACGAATAAAAATGATACAATAATAATTAAATTAAAATTCATTATAAATACTATCAAAATAAATTCTCTCCCTACCTATACGACCAGAAGAGTATGTTAATATAAAAAATTAAAAAAGGAAGAATTACATTGAAATCTCATCATAAAAAAATTAATTATTATAAAATTTAATGATTGTGTTATCAATTTTTTTAATTTAATTATTAATAAATTTTTTCATAATTAATTTTTTTTTTTTTTGGTGTGTACGTGGATGTAATTCTTCCAACTAAAAACAACTCAACAAAACGCCGTTAATCGGCCCACTTTAACAAGCGCCAATCCCATTGGCTTCACTGCTTCGTAGGCTCAAACTGTACAAAATCCTATAAGCTACGAGGAAACCCGAAGACCTCAGCAGTATACCATTGCCAACAAAGCAAGCTGAGTCATGGCGGGCTCTGATCCCCACAAGATGATGATCAAAGCTGACAAGCTGTGAGTTCATCTTTCTCATTTTGCTATTCATTTCTCTCATTGATATGATGCGTAAAGAAAGTGTTAATTCCCTTGAGATTTTACGATGCACGCTTTTGTGGGCAATCTGTGGTGAAATTAATTCTGGGAAATTTCGCGCAATGAGAGAACCTGGAACCCGATCAGTTGATTTGAATGATCATGGTTTTGTAAAACAACGGAAAATTTCTCCGTAAGTGGTTTTTTCATCTTTCGATTCAGATGAGTGTAGAACTGATGGTAGAATTGATTCATGGATTGTTGCTTTGCGGTGGCCATGATTGTAGAAAAATGCTGCAAGTGCAGAGTCAACAACTGCTAGGGTCATACTCTCTTCGTAGTTCATTGATTATAGAGTCCGTTAAAAGAACTGGGTATCGATAAAGTTCTTAGCTTCATATGTTTTCGAATTGCTTATCTACTTGACGTTACAAATTAAGCATTTGATGCTGCTTTTGATTCTCTTTCTATGACTTTAGTTAACCCCTTTTTTTCCTTATATTTTTCCCCCTCTCAGAACTAAACTTACTCTTACAAGGTGGAGTGCAGACTGGAAAAATGCTACTGCCCTCTATGAGCAGGCGGGTAAAAAAAATGTTTTTCTAAACTTTTGATTGCACATGCAAGTAACTTTGTGGCTAATCTATCAAAAATGAGAAAGCATGTTCGCAAATATTCTAACCTTTTATTCTACTGTAGCAAATGGATTTAGAGTTGCCAAGGATTATGAGAGAGCAAAAGAAGCTTATGAGAAAGCTTCTAAAGGACAGGAAATGCTTTCTTCGTATCCTGATTTTGTTTTATTGTAGATTTCTTGTCCTTGAACAAAATTAATTGTCCCACAATGTTTTTATGTTCATTGCGTTAAACTGTCTCTCTAAATATTTCCTTTACAAGCAAACCAGACCTTGGGATGCTGCTAAACATATGGAATCTGCCGCCAGTCTAGCAAAGGACCTAAGAAACTGGAAAGAAGTTGGGGACTTCTATCGAAGGGCATCTGAATTGTACATTGAGTGTGGGAGACCTCAACCTGCATCAGATGCTCTAGCGAAGGGAGCCCGGTGAGCAAATTGTTTACTTTTGCTTTGCTATCATATGATCATTATTACTCTCAATTTGAAGTTGAAGGCAACACTTTCATCCTTTGTAACATGATGTAGATGCTCAATGAACCTTTACTTAATAATTTCTCAATAATGTTCTAACCTTTTTCCTCTTCTGTTTAGTTAATCATGGCTTGATATGCTGAATTTAATTTTACAAGTAATTACTAGCCATTGATGTGAGACTGTTAAATGTGATATCACGGATCTTTTGTCTTATTCCACTCAATCAAATTAATGCTATGATAAAGTCTTTCCTTTCCCTTCCCTTCCCTTTTCTTTTTATTTTGCGCCACACCCCAAAAAAAAAAAAATGAGTGAAGTTTTTATATCCTGGATTTTAGTGCATCATGTAGCCTTTGCATATAGCTTGCTTATTTCACTTTTTATCATAACCACATGATGCATATCTTATCTTCCCTGTACAGTGCATTGGAAGAGTCCATGCCGGAAGAAGCAATTCAGTTATATACTGATGCTTATACGATTCTTGAAGATGATGGAAGAGAACAAATGGCCTTTGATCTATATCGTGGTGCTGCCAATGTGTATGTAAAACTTGAGAAGTAAGTTTTCTCCAAACTTAAGATGATCATAATTTCCTTTGTTTATGGGATAGGGAGTATTCATCTTTGTCCACTTAATTGCCACTAGCTGGAGTAAACTCAGGAAGTCTTGTATTAATTTGTTGTTAACTTATTAGTTTTTGTCATTCATACAATTGAATGGCCATTGATGCTTCTCTTTGTTCTTATTTATATAAGGTGACATATATGATGAAGCATAAGCCAAATGTTGAATCTTCTAAAGTATAATATGACATGTATAGAGTTTAACATCCTTGTACATGATAAAGCAGTTTTCCTACTCTAAGATCAATGGATACGGGATCCTGTATTCTGGTGCTATCCAGCATATGTTCGTATGTGGCACAAACCAGCAAAAATGGTTTTATGCCCGCCACCAGTTCAGTTCTTTAACTTATTATCTATGATTGTTAGTCAGATTGAAATAGAACAAGAAGCAAAGTGAAGACTCTTGACAAACAAATGTTCGGGTCCATAAAACAGATGAATTTGAGGGCCACTAATATGCTAAAAGTGATGATGATTAAGGACTCAGTTGGTGATTGTTTTGGTGTTGTGAACAATACCTCTATATTTTTTATTGGGCACCAGAGGGTTTTAGGGTAGCTTGAGCCACAAGGTTTTTGAGTGCTGTTTTTTTTTTTTTTTTCCTGGTGATGTTGTTCAACCTGAAACGTGGAGGTACTTGTAGGAGTTTGTCAGCAATAAGCCTGCTAATCAATTTCAGTAAAATAGGAAGGAAAATAAGAGTCATAAAGCCAAGAAATACAAGGACATAGATAAGAAATAAAATGTTGGCATTAACAGCAGTAACTACACTAATTACAGTACAGCTGGAATCAAGGCATCAAGGAATTAAGTCATCATTATCTACAAGAGGATGTCTCCAGCTTCCCACGCAGGATTCCTTTGGTTGATATCTCAGAAGTCAAATGGCTGAATCCAAGTAAAGCAGGATGCATAGATTCTCAAACTCTTTAAATGCTGATAACTTGTCAAGGTCTGTTTACTTAAGATCAAGCTATTAAGTAAAGGGCCATGAACAGTTTTGCTACGATTTTATACATGCCTTATCACACAAAACCCTTCAGGTTTGAAGTGTGGACAGACCATGTGCCTACCTTGAAGTACCAGTAATTTTGATTACAAAGGTTTGCATTGTATTCAATACATGGTTAATACCTGTGTTAAACATGATCTAAAACTTGAAACAACATTCAATCACTACATATCTTGCAGTTTTGTATTGTATTCAATACATGGTTAATACTTGTGTTCATATTGTGTCCTTTCTTCTATCCTAAATTTTAAGATGTTAGGTGAAGGCTGATGTATAGTTTTATACTTTTATTATAATCTGAAAGAGATAGAAAGCATAAAATCTATTTAAATCTCCAAAACTTATACAGGGATTGGGAACTGGCGTTTTAGATTGTTCTCTAAATTTGAAACCTTTGTAATTAAATCTAGACATTCAAGAAGGATAGATAAGGACCTAGCATTAGGTTATGATAGTGTTACAAAGTAATCTTACCATTAGATTCCCCTCATAGTGTGTTTTACTCTTTATAGCTTATTAATCCTTTGTTCCATTCCGTATTGTGCCACCCTGAACGATCAGAACTGCTGTTTTGGGCATCTGATAATATTGATACAAGTTACTGCATAGAAGTCTTAAGATACGTGGATTTTTCTCTGGCGTGTGGATTTGCAGTTGTACTGAACTGTGGTTTTAAAATATGCAGATATACAGATGCTGCATCTGTCTTCATGAGATTGGGCTTATCAGCTGACAAATCTAATGCTACCAATACCCAATGCAAGGTCTGTAAATTATAAATTTTGTATTATTTTCATCAAACTCCATTATTCATATATTTATGCTAAAAAAAGGAAGCATATTATTATTTTTAGTGAACTATGAAAACGGATTTAGTTGCATTATTTCATGATGTTGGAGGATAGTGATGACTCTATTATAACTAAAGGAACCAAATGTATTCAACGCTTCTTCTTCTTCTTCTTCTCCTTTTCCTTCTTTGTCCTTCTTTTTCAAACTGTTTGCATGGCATAGAACTAATTTTTTTTAATAATTATTGTTATATGTATGTCATTTTAAATCACTGTTTGGCTATTTATCCCTATCAGCTTTCAAGTGAATACAAGTTTTGTTAAAATGGTAGTTATAACTGAACGTATGGTGGTAGATTAATGGTACTTTTAAATGTCATTCTAGTACAAAATTATGCTGTGAGTGGATCTGGGGTGCTAAGCTCATACGTAAGTAAATTGTAAAATGTGAATATCAAGCTGGGTTTTCGATTGCTATTTGGCTTAAATTTCAGTATTGGTTATATAGATGCATGTCTGATAAATCTCATAGTTTCTAAAAGTGTTTTACCTCTTTCCATTCTGTTTCTTGCTTTCATCTTTCTCTCCTTAATCTATGATAACCTGGAGACTTTGGGATGGAACATTCTTGTCTTTAGCTTCAAGTTCCTTCCTTTCATATTGGTTCAATGTTTCCTATTCCTAACCTAAGCATGCTCTATCACCATTATGTCCTTGAAGCACCTTTTATTTTGTTATTTCTTCCAAACCAATTTTAACTGCAATGCGTGCTAAATTTTTGGGTCATACTGATTTTAAGGGATAATTGTTGAATGGATGAATATAGCTCTTATTCAGTGGTTCTATAGATAATGCCTCAAGTCAATAAGGGCTTCGATAGATAGAAATGTCTGGGGTTATGAAGTTTTTATCAAGATGCTTTAGAGGATACAAATGAAGATTTGCATTTGGGTGTGTTTAGGTATATCACAATATAGGATGCAAGTGCCTGACAGAATTCTAGGGAGCTTTATTGCTGGTATGAATCTCAAAATGTAAAAATATTACAATGGTCAATGAAACAAACTTATATCCTTTAACTAAAGGGTAAACATTACCTTTGGTCGGACCTCCTCTATTGCCTTCTTGTTATCCTATTGAGTACGGGCCTGAGTTCACATATTATAGGAGGAGGCCCAAAAATGTAAGCGCATATCTAGTAGATTAGAAAAGGGTAATTGGGCTATTATGTATGTGTTCTGTTAAAGGAGAGAGGGAGAAGGTTGTTTTTTGGCGGGTGCATGGAGGGAGGAGGCTAATGAGAATTTAAAGGTGGTATTCTGAGAGTTTATGCCCTCTCAAATGCATAGGGGCTTTGGTATTCTTTCTTTTTCTTGTGACTAGTGTTTCTCCATTAGTACAAAGGCTGTCTCCTTCATTTTGGTATCAGAGTTGTTCCTTTTTGAGTAATGGTTAGCGCTAGAATGGATCAATGTGTTGGTTGTTTGGATTCATGAATGCTCAAAACTGAACAGGGCATGGAAATGCTAGAAGGCGATGTCGCTACTATGAAATGTGATATGGCCCTATGAATTCCTTAATGGCAGAATTAGCTGCTGAAATTTGTAAGCCTCATGGTGATGATAGCAGGGGGTATAACTCCTGAGACCTTGTCTGGTTTGAAAGTTACTTCAGAGCAGCCTCATATTATTGAGATAGGTGAGGGCAGTGGGTCTGATTCACTTGACATTTCTTCCTAGAAACTTGATAGGCCTCTTTTTCTGGTGATGAACCTTTAGGTTGGATTTTCTGAGTTGAATAGTATTTCAGAGTAAATTGCATCACAGATGCCTGATCTGGTTCACTGGATGCTGCTGTCTTATGCTTTGAAGGATGTGCACTCACTTGGTTTCAATGGTGTGAGGTTCGTTCTCCTCTTCACTCTTGGTCTGACTTTAAGTGCGAATTATGCATTTTCGTCCCTCTCAAGTAGAAGGAAAATATGAAATGTTAATGGCCCAGTGTCAAAAGTGTTTGGTGGCTGAATACATTTGAGTGTTTTGAACTGCTTTCAGCAACCATTGAGAGTTGCGATGAAGAGGTATTGATCGGTGCTTTCCTCAATGAACTCTACAAGGAAATTAAAATCGATCTTCGGGTTATGGAACTCCAAAAATTGTTGGAGTTTATGGATATGGCCTTGTGTATGGAAGAATGCAATTATGTTCTCCTTTCTGGTTATGCTCATTGTGAACGGACTACTCAACCTTTGGATTGGACTCAACGGGCCGGTGCTTGTCAAGGCCCATTTCGTTCTGGGTCTGGGTCAGACGCCTTTAAAACAATGTCCATTACTGTGTCCCAGGTCTCCAAATTGTCAGATGACTCCAAAAAGATGGCCATTCCTGTCACTTACACCAACAAATCAGTGCCTAAGAAATCACTGATGCAGAAATTAAGCAGTGACGCAAGCTAGGGCTCTGTTTTAAATGTGACAAGAAATTTCATCCTGGGCATAAATGCAAAAAGAAGCAGCTCTTGGCTCAGTAGCCAAGGGGGAGAAGAGAGAACACTGTCTTACTTTGATAAAACAAACTATATTGTTTCTTGATTACTTCAACACAATGAAAAGATGCCTATTTATACTAGTTTAGGGTAGATATATAGGGGCTACAGTCATTAGTTATGGGATTTTATTCTGACATGATAATGCAGGGGAGTTTTGGAGATAGTGGGGGTTATGTAGATGTAGGGTTATGGAGATGCAGCATTCAATTCTGTTTCAGGCATACAAGAATATGATCTCCTTTCCTCTCAAGACTATAAATGCAACTTAGTAACCTTGGAATGGACCTACTCATGACTTCCATCTCTTGGCCTTTTTCAATTGTGCATCTTTAGATCATCTCCTGGTCAGTCTAGTGCCATCACTCCCTTGTCCCTACCACAGTCCCCATAATGCGAGACACTTTAAATTGTATGTGGGTACTTAAAGTTCTGCAGTGTTATAATATCATGTTAGCTCATGTCCTATGTTCATGGTGGTATCCATGCTTCCTAGCTCAGATGAAGGTTGAGGCCTTGAAGGCAATGTACAAAAGAGGGGAAAAAAATCAAGGATGTTTAATGACTCTGTTTGGGATTTTCAAACAGGTGAAATTTCTGTAAGCAGTGCATAGCTGCTGCATCATTGTTGCTCTTATCTCTGTGATGGGAAAAGAAATTTTCTTTTCTGAAAATATGCTATGTTCATGATTTGAGATTTATGACGTGTTATTTTTATGAAAAATTTTCTTACACATTTGTTTATTAATGCAGGCATATCTTAGTGCAATAATCGTTCATCTTTATGCCCATGATTTTAAGGAAGCAGAGAAGTGTTATAACGACTGCTATCAGTAAGCTGCTGCCCATCCTTATGCTATTGTTTGCTTATGTATCAGCTAATGTGTAATATAGAACTGGAGTTTGGATTCCACCGCATCCACCACATAGTCCTGTTGGCCCGATGCAGTCTTGATACTTTCTTATACCATATTTATGATTGATTCTGCATAGCATTTGGGAATTAGGAGCTTTATTTTACAGTACGTCTGATGCAAATCTGATTTTTTTTCCCCAATTCATTATCTCTTGCTTTTCATTTGAGACTCAAATATCATAAACATATTTCTGCCTGTTTTACAATGGCAAGACCTGACGCTCATTACTTAACTATTGATTATGAAGCATTGAGAACTTGATTTTTGGAATTCAATGTGTTTTTAAGGCTAACTCTTCAAAAACCACGAAGAAAATATTGGCATCCTCTCAGTTCCCATTTTTTCCTTCACTATCTTCTCTGCAATGATGCTCTGCCTCCTGTTTTCCTTCATGGGTACCTTTTATCATTAGTGGTGTGAAAGTGGTAGTCAACTAAATTTTCTGACATGCTCCAACTGAACTCAAGCAATAAAAAATGAGAGTGTCCATTTGATGGAGTCTCATATTTTGGAGCTACAAGTAATTCTTGTGGCACTTTAGTAGCATGGCCCTTCCTCCTTTCTAGCTAGTTTTTATGGGTGGGTTTCCCAAGTTTGCTTAGATCTCCATTACCATCTGAATTGTTCCCCAATAATATAAAGAGCCATAAATATGGAATTTGAACAATACAAACGTCAGCAAATAGAAAGGAAAACCTGTGTGCAATGAGCCTCATATTTTCTTATGTCTGAAGCACATTATTGAGAAGGGCTAGTAAAGGCTTTCTTGGTGTGTGCAGAAACTCAGACAAATCTTGTGCAATTTTTGGTACACAGAAAAGTAGTTTCTAGAAAGGAAAAGGGAAATATACCTTAAAAAAAAGGGATAGGTGTATTTCTAGTTTCCTTCCTAGAAAATGTTTCTCTACCTACCAAACATTGCTTAAAGGGAAAGACTATGGAAGAATGATCAATCTTGAATATTCGAAACTCTTTTGAATATTGATATCTTTTTTTTTTTTGGGATAAATGAAGTATTTAGTGAATGGTGACCACCTATAGCTCTTGGTAAATTACAACTTAAAATAAATTGAGAAAATTCATTTTCTAGCATACAAGGAGCAGCTATATGCAAAATAATTGGTCCCAAGTCTTGGAACTAGACATATTTTGTACTTGTTTTCTAACACAGACTCGGATGCTGTTATTACCATGTGTGCTTTTATATACACAGAGAGAGGGAGGAATTGGGAAAAATATATGGCAGTGCTTGGATAATCATTGAAAGACCCCAGCAAATGGGTTCCGAATGTTTTATCTCTACAAAAGTCTTCTGAAAGTTGCAGTACCATATTGAGAAATAGTTGTTTCTGTGCCTATAATTATTGGGTTTTCTTCATTGACTTCCCAGTCCAATTGTTTCTTTGCTCTTAGACCATGATAGCCTGTATCCTGTGCATGAAATTTGCTTCTTTTTCTTTGTATAAAAAAATATGGAGTAATTATGTCATGCTATGCCTTTGCATTATGGGAACTGATAAATGAATTGTCATAATGTGATGTCTCTAGGATTGATGCCTTCGTCAAAAGTGACCAAAATCGTTGTGCTGCCAAGCTTCTTGCTGCTTACAGAGAAGGAGACGTTGAAGAAATCAAGCGGCTTGCTAATTCCACCACTATTTCAAATCTTGACCATGTGGTAAAAGATTTAGTTCATATGCATCACTTTCCTCACTTTAACTATCATTTGTCTTCTGAGCTTGTTTTTGTCCCAAAAAGCTTCTATGCGAGTTTGTCAGAGATAGTCATAAACTCCTTTTCTTAACTGCTCAAGTTTTTTAGTTGAAATGATCATGGACAATGCTCAAATCTAGAACACTGGTGTTTATCTTCGACATAGATGTCTTTAGTTTGTATCGATCTAGAGTCCAAGGGATGCAATACATCTGTCAACTGTTACAATGACTTCAAACTTATTGTTGCACCTGGGAAAAATGGCGACTAAGAACTCATAGCTTGTCAATGTCAGCAAAAGACCTCAAATTTCTCTCAAAAGTTATACCACTCATTGCAATTTGGTTTTGCAGTGTTTTAAGACCCTCGTTAAGTGGTCATACTCTGAACTCATATATTAGCATGAAAAAACTGTGAAGCTTGTTTGAGACTTTAGAAGCCTGACATCTCATATGATTACTTTTTGAACCACAGACTCCTCATTGCAGGATGATATATATATATATATATTTAAAGCGATAAATTACACAACTTACACACTCAGGTGCTAATGCAGGGTTTGAGCCTTGGATCTCATGCCTGCAGTGAGGTGGCGTTGTCACTAGGATAACTTGCCATTGGGCTCATTGCAGGATGATAATTGTCAACTACTTTTGCAACATTTATATGGTTGCATAATCATTAATCAAAATGCAATCACCATTTATTATTATTATTATTATTATTATTATTATTATTATTATTGGTTAGTGATGGTATGGGTGAAATCTGTGCAGATTATCAGGCTTGCAAGGAAACTGCCAACGGGTGATGTGAGTGCATTGAAGGTTGATGGAGCCAAAGAGGAAGAAGAGGAGGCACTAGACGAAAATGATCTCACTTGAATACTGTTACTGCTTGTATGATGTCTCTTGTGCGTCTGTTTATATATGATGAGAGAAAGGTTGGCAGCCCCATTTGATTGTGTTGACCCGTACATATCAGGTGTTATATAAATAATTTTAATTTGTGCTGTTGTTCTTTCTGTTGTATTATGACGTCCTATGTTCCAGTTTATGCAAGAGGTTTTTTTTTTTTTTTGGGAAAATAATTTCATGGGTTGAAATTGGAGCTCTTAATTTTTCAATCTCATGGGGTTTCTGTACATGTGTTATTGACTCAATTTTCTGTAGAATTTGGTAACATTGAAGAGGACACTGTCCAGAGACAAAAAAAAAAAAAAAGGGGGGGGGGGTTATCGATCAGTGTTTTGGATAGGAATAAAGGGAAGTAAATGAGAATTTGATTATTGTTTTATTCACAAGGAACAACGGCAATATGAATACGCAAGCCATGCATGTTAATAATAGCAAATGTTTCCATAATGCTTGGTGAACATAAAGAATAACATTGAGCTCTTTTACTAAGTGGGAAAAACATTGGAGGACCACAAAACGTTAAAAAAAAAAAAAACACACAAAACAAAAAACAAAAACCAAAACAAAAAAGAATTGGGAGATTGTATTATTCCTACCACCCTTGGTCCTACAGTAATTTGAACCTGAAAATTTAAAAGAAGTGACATTAATTAAAATGTTTCACATAAGATTAAAAAAATTATTTAATTTTTATAGTTTTGATCCAATTTTAATTTATAATTTTGTTTTTATAATTTTAACTCAATTGTAATTTAGTGTTTAAACTTTTATTCTTATAGTTTAAACCTTCTAAAATATCGGTTCTTATACTTTAAAAAATAAAATTATAAAGATTAAAATTATTTTTAAATTTTAATCTTTATAATTTTTATAAAAATTAAAAGGGTTTAGTAATTAAAATTTTAATCCTAAATTTTCACATGATTTTAATCTTTATAATTTTAATTTTTAAAAATATAAGAACTAATATTTTAAATGGTTAAAACTATAAGGATTGATAAAAGTCAAAGTTTAGAGATAAATTACAATCAAGTCAAAATTATGAGATCTAATTTATAATGAGTTAAAATGTAAGAATTGAAATACAATTAAGTAAAAATTATAAAGATAAAATGATTAATATTTTTAAAAAATAAATAATAAATAATGTTGTGTCAGCTTTTATTTAATACCAGTGCGAAAAATGTTCTTCCCACACTATTGGTGAAGTCCCTATTGTCATTCCCCTACCCATGATCAAGTCATTTGCCCCTAAAATTTGTCTCTTTCTTTTTTGTTGAAGAAAATAATTAAATTTTCTCACAAGCAACACCGTGGGTTTCCTGTAATAAAATTTCAACGATTATTCAACTATACACTTCATTTACTCATTTTTATAACGTGTTTGAGACTTTTTACACAGATTAAGAAAAATTATTATGTTGCTTTATTTGTTCAAAAAAAATCTCAAATTTTCAATTATGCTCTTCTTAATTAAAGGGACATAAATATTATTATAAAAATTGTAGCCAATACGAGAGGGGTTCTTTGTTATTTGTACAAAGCCATCTTGTTTTTTCAAATTTCAAGAATACCATGTAAACTAAAGGTATTTTTGTAAGGCACCTGATAATTAGATTACTTTTTTATTTCTGTAAAACATTTTATGAAAAAGACTTGAAGGAGTATCTTATGATACTTATTTCTTTCACTTTTATCGTGGTGAATAGAAAAAATACATTGAAAGGGTTACCTTTAAATTTAACTAGATATAACAATGCTTGAATCTAATATGATAATGTCAGATATAACATATTACATTAAAGAAAAGTAAAAATGGAACATGTATAGTTGTTTGCACATAAATTGTGAATTTAACGGCTCGGGTTCAACTCAACTTAATCAATTTTTTAAAAAAATATATTTATTAAGCTCTAACCATTAAGTCAAAATCATCTACACTTCACTTATGATAAGTAATCACAATTGAGAAAGTGCTTTCTAAATTTAAGAAAAGTGGTAATCATGAAATTTGGGTGAAAAGTGGCAATCATGGAGCTTGGGTACTAAGTTAGGATCATATATAAATAAAGAGCCCTCTTTCAACAATCATCATCATCAGTATCAATAAACTATCAGTCAAATTTTTAGACTTTGCCTCTGCTACTTTATTTTATTTTTCCTTTTATCATTTAGTTTTAATCTTTATTTTTCTATTGTACTGTTAATTAATATATCTTTACTTTCATGCATCTATATTAATTTTTTTCACTTCACATTCTCATATTTAGGTGAACTATATAAGGGAGTTCAGGTTTCCCACGTTTGATTAAAGTTAGGTTTTTTTCATTCTTTTAAAATCCCGCATCTTTGGCATGCCTTACGACACCCTTTTTTTGTTTTTGCCGAACAAAGGTAAATAGAAATTGACCCCAAAATTGGAATGAACTCTTAATGTCTAAATAATAAAAGTATGACCAAATGAATTTGCCTTGTATAAGAATGGTTAGGAATTTTTCACTTTTTACCGCTATAGGTGGAGCCATACTTAAGAAGAAGAAGGAGAAGAAGGGGAGGTCTCAGAATGGGTTCGACCATAATCAAAATAGTTTCCAATGGATAATTTATTAATCTTGTTTGAGCTTATTGAAGATTTAGAGGCACTCTCAGGATACGAAGTAGCATACCCATGTGGTATATCTTTCTTCTTATGACTCATTCTGCTTCAACAAGAAAATGTATAGCAACACTTAATATATTGGGATTTATTCTTTGAAAGTGTGTGGAAATGGACATTCTTCGAAAGTGTGTCCTAATTTCTTTCAAGTTTCATAATGAGAACCATGGTTCAGCGCCTTAGTTCACTGAGTTTGCTTGTTCACTCGGTCAAATCAAGGTTCCTGAAAAATGTGTGTAAAATGAAAATTAAACTTTGTGACAGTGTGCAACTCATAAGCCTGTATATATGCAAATCAAAGTTTTGTGGAAATATTTGCAAATTTATTCGAAGTTTTATCAAAATTTTCTCAAGTTTTCAAAACAATGCCTTTTATTGCTGAAGTTTCCTTAAAAAAATAAAAATAAAATCCAGGCTTCTTTATTAAGTTTGCTTGTTCGCTTGGTGAAAAGTTAATGATTTTTTTTATTTTTATGAAATGACTTGGATATTTCCATGATTTGCATATTTCACTTGAGGAGAATGATATAAAAATGCCCTCAAAATTCACAACTAATCATTAGGTATTGTGAATGTGATTATTATTTTCTAGTTTCTGGACATTTGTTTGTCAATTAGTTTTAATATGAAAATACTTGTTTTACCCTTATAAAAAAAAAGTTGCACAAAACAGCTTATAATTTGTTATTTTATTCTAGTCATTTTTTCAAGAAAATTAGTCATTCCTAAAAGAAAGAAGTAATTGATTTTTAGTTGTTAGTTTCACTAATAAAAAAAAATTGGCATAGAGCAACTTGTAATTTGTATTCTGCTCTAGTTATTTCCGCAAGAAAGCTAGACATTTCATAAAAAAAAAGTAGCAACTACTTTAGACTTTACTGATAAAATTTTTTGCATAGAGAAATTTATGATTTTTTATTTCATTCTAGTTATTTCCTTAAGAAAACTAATCATTTACTAAAAGTAAATAATAATTGATTTTTAGTTGTTAGACTTTTGATTAAAAAATTGCACAAAACAACTTGCAATTCATTATTAAGTTGTAATAATTTCTTTAAGAAAACTAGTCATTTCTCACAAGAAATAATAATTAATTTTTAGTTACTAATTTATTTTAAAATTTAAAATAGGGGCAAATACATTGTTTCACAAAAGAAGTCACGTAAGTTTCTAGTTACTAGAAAATAATTATCATATTTTGTGGTACTTAATTGTTATTTATATATTTCAGAAATATTTTTTTATCATTTTTCTCATTTAATTTATTACATAATTTAACGATAAAAAATGAAAATACATTTAATTTTTTTTGCCCCATGGACAATATGTCCGGCTTAGCCCAAACCAATGGGCCATGACATGAGTCCAAGGTTTAAAAATGTTGGCCTTTGGCCCAAAATTCCTTTAAATTTGGTTTGGGCTTGGGGTGTCTAATCGGGTAGGGTTTTCGAGGTTCTGCAACTTGCCCTTCATATCCTTCTTCATCACCACCAAGCCAAGTCCGATCTCCTGCTTAGCATTCGTGCTCCAGAGCGGACCTCTCGACGTTCTCATTATGGTACTCTCTCTCTCTTTCTCTCTGCAGTTTTCATTCCGTTAATTAGCGATTCGTCAGATTGTAGATTCTGCCTTCCTTCTCTATGGTTCAGATTAACTATAATGAAAAATGGATGACTTGCGTCCTTTTCCTTTCGGGGATTTGATTGATACGTCTTCGATGAATTTGTGATGGCGAGACTTTTCTACTTGAAAAGGGATGTTCCTATGATAATTTGCTATCTTTTTTTCTTCTGTTTTTTTTTTCTTTGGCCTTGTTGTAGAATGAATAGATAACCATAAAAGAATTAATTTTTAGATAAATGGCGTGTACGTAGTTGAGATTTAGAGTTGGTCCATTGTGGACAACCGTAAAAACATTGTGTCATATTCATTTTTTAGGCCTTCTCTGAAAATCGGTTGAGATAGTTTGGGCATGTACAAAGAAGATCAAGGGAGGCACCAGTGAGAAGAGTGGAATATATAACTTTGAGTCTGATTAAGAGAGGTAGAGGAAGGCCTAAGAGAACACTCTTGGAAGTTGTTGAACGTGATCTCTTAATTAATAATATTTCTAAAAGCTTAATAAATGATAGAGCACAATGGCGTCTTGCAATCCATGTAGCCGACCCCACCTAGTGGGATAAAGGCTTGTTGTTGTTGTTGTTGTTGTTGTTGTTGTTGTTGTTGTTGTAGGAATTGAATTAGGAAGAAGTCAGTTATTCTATCAGCCCCTGTTAAATAGTTATAGTTTCTCAAACACTTTCAACATCTATTTACTCCTTAGATTCTTTGTTGTTGGTTATGTATGCCTAGTTGAAGGAATTGAATTAGAAAGAAGTCAGTTGTGCTATAAGTTTCTGCTACTAATTACTTATAGTTTCTAAACTTTATTGGT